TCAATAAACATTAAATGTTTTGTGGAATGAAAACCAAAAATACTTGACTCAAAATACTTCAGTAAATATAATTGAATATGCAATTTCGAAAAGGGTACATCTCTGAAAATATAAAATTGTTCAGGAAATGAAAAAAACTGATTATTTTCTAAAGCAGTGTTAAATTTAAAATATTATCTTTTGAGATGTATTTTAGTGTTAATTAGCAATTGAAAATGACTGGAATTATTATAAAATGGGTGTAGGTAAGCCTCAAAACTACATGTATATGAAAAAACGTAATTGACAAAATACGTAACGTATTTGACATGTGCCCTTTTCGAAATTGTATATTCAATTAGATTTTTGTTTTTTTTTTAAATGTCTAAATACAAAACTAATCCTACCAGACTTCAGGATACCACTATAATATTATTACATTCTGTGTGAAATGAAACATATAAATCTAGAAATATGTTTAATAGAAAAATAAAATAAATTAGATATTATAGTCTTAACCTAAAAGTATATGTTATTATCCGCAACGGTATCCATATTATAAAACTGACGGCGGTTGACACAATATTGAAATATCGACAATCAAATATGTAGTGCCTTAGTTGTTCGTACATGAGCATGAAAACTGTAAAGTAAGTGAAACGTTAGAAATATTAAATTAACAATAAAAACGTAAGATGAAAAGTGGTTTCTATAATCATGTAAGACTTAAGAAAACCAAAGAAAATACTTTCTTTGTATGACATACATATTTTTGATATTTAATGTACTATTAGATCACAAAAAATAATAGTCGAAAACCACCAGGGATAATTTGTAAAAATTAAGGTTTAAATTATGAAAACCTTTCATAGGAAGCTAATAAAAAAACTTAGTTTGATTGAGATTAAACGTTAGTATTGAGATGAAACGTAGATTTTCGTAAAGCTATTTTCATTACTGAAACTGATTGTGGAAACAATGCTTAGGACAGAAAACAATCCGGTGGAGGCCCCAAGATTCCTGGAGCGAAGTTAGCGCAACACGTAAAGGCAACTCGGTTCCGAGACGAATGTTCAAACCGTAATGAGATTCCTCCGATGTTATCTCGCTTGACAACGAATCTCCAATTTGCGGTCAGTCGATCTTCCGGAGATATTGCGGAATTCAATTTGCTTAGACAAAAGTAACGTATTTGCGAAAGGAAACCAGGAATTACTTGGGTGTGACAATTGATACAGATTTCCAATTTAGAGAAATTTTGTTGGCTAGTCTTTTTTCACATCGTTCAGAAATAATTAAAATATATGAAGGGCAACAAATTATCACTGACACATAGTAGTTAAGTAGAGATATGTCCTTCTAATAGCTCTAACAATATTTTTATTGCCCTTGTAGGCAGACGAGCATAGGGCCCCCCTGATGGTGAGTGGTTACCGTCGCCCATGGACCTCAGCAATGCTAGGGGCAGAGCCAAACCGCTGCCTACCGCTTAATACTGTCCACAAGCCTCTTTTAAAGAAGGACATGTCATAATTCTCGGGAAACACCGTGGAGGGGAGCTCATTCCATAGCCTTTGGAAACGCACTGCTGATAAACGCAGCGGTTCCAGATGATATGGATGAACTCTGCTCCGATGGCGAGAGGTGCGATGATAAAAAGGAGATGAGGAGATCATCTCAAACAATCCCTATGAACACTCCCCATGGAACATACGGTACAAAATACAGAGGGAACCGAAGTCCCTCCGCAGACCCAGAGGTTCCAAACGATCCGTGAGATTTAAACACATTAATTAATTTTATCACAACGAAAACAACTTCAATTTTAGATTTTAATAAAACTATCAAATTCCATTAACCGCATCCCGATAAAATAAACTAAAAGCAACTTTCGACCAATAAAATCGGAAATAACCCAAACACACTAAATGCTCCGAAAGTTTCACCGCATAATTCATTGGGAGAAACAAACGGAGCTGTCTTGAAGAGGATTAAAAAACGAATTTGAATTCACAGCGCGTTATTCAGAAATAGCCTCCGGTAAGTAACAATTTACACCCACCTAATTTTATAGTTACCAAATAACTTCAAAGGTGCTTTCACGTACTTAATGGTTACAACGTCAACCTCACTTTCGTACATAGGTGTTGATGTACACTAATGTCCAATTAATATGCCGCTTTATTCGAAGCCTCCCTAATTTATTGTACACCAACTTGGTATAATAATATATTCTCATTAACTTGACACTCGCCGCCTATAATAAGCTGACCGATCATTAGATGCCGCCGATAAATTCCGATTGTACCGAAAATAAATAGAGATATTGACCGAGTCTATAAATTGTGAACGCTACCGTTGTTATGGCAACGAAAGGTTTTTTTTTTTGGGTTGGCAAGTTGCTTATCAGATGTCAGAATGCAGTTAAGTGGTAATGTTTTAAGAGGTACGAGGGAATTAGTAGCGGCGTTTCGTTTTAATTGTGGCTCTTTTAGTATTAATGGATCGTGTGAAACGAAATGTTAATGGGGTCATTTACGATTGTCATTCATTGTGACCGTGAACCATTTAGACAATGGACTTTTAACGTCCCTTTAATACAATCCTTTACTTTAATTCTCATTAAAATTCACTTTTTTTTACATTCAACTTAAAGTGAATTTACAACCATTTTATTCCATTCGAATACTTAACGACGATCTTGTAAAAAAATAAAGAAATCTAATTTTACGGCCTCAAGAAATACAAGGCCACTTCGGATATCCTTAGGGATCAAAGGACCTAGACGAGATTCGAAGCAACAAAACAACTTTAAAAACAAACAAAGAACATTTTAATTCTTTAATATATTGACGTTATAAAAAGGAACGTGTGTGCATTCAAACTGTGACCGAAGATGCATATTGTACTTCGAAGCGATGTTTATGCTAATACAATGCATCGACTCCTTATATTAAGATGTTTGTTTTTATTTACGTCTTATTGGCTCAACCCATTAGGAGTCTTAATTATTATACGGTCTTTAATTATGTTATCCGATTGTGTTGTTTCTTTGCGAATCGGTAATATATTATCGATGTAATGGATGCTTTAAATTAAGTTACGAGTATTATGACGTTGGAAGTTAATTTATGTGAAAGTTAGTGAGTCTATTAAAGTATGGTTCATAAAATAAAAGATACAGTCCAAGTCATATTTGATTTTTATTAAATTTAATAAGGTACCGCTAAACACAATAATAGATAGATTATATTAAAATGTTTCCGTTTTTGATTTTTAGTAATCAAATAGTTATTGAAGTTACATTTTCAATTAAAGTTTTAGATAAAATAATCATGATTTGGTAGTATGGAATTTGTAATAGTTTTTAATTGGATATGAAACTGATTGAATTTGAATGTTTTGCTTATTCCTTTTGGGCCGCACCGGATTTTTTATTTATTGCCCTTGTAGGCAGACGAGCATACGGCCCACCTGATGGTGAGTGGTTACCGTCGCCCATGGACTTCAGCAGTGCCAGGGGCAGAGCCAAGCCGCTGCCTACTGATATTTATTTAATTGTGCATCGTTTGGTCCCATATTTTGCTCGAATTTTAACACGTTTATTAATAGCACGCGTATACTTTAGATAGTATTATTAATTGAGAAAAGAAACGCCGATTTTCATTCTTATTAATATTATAATAGTTAAATTTTTAGTAATCGTTCCAAAGTAAACAAAAAAAATTAAAATATGCACTGAGATTTTCCAATTCACTACCTACGTAAATTGTAAGTTACTGATAAATCTCTAAAATACTTTGACGCAACGGTCTTCCTCCCTGTCAATGTGAACATAAATTATTAAGCAATTAACACAATGAAACGTCACTCATGTCATGGTAGATGGAGTCTTCCAAAATATTTGTTCTGAGAAGACAATAAGAACAATATCATTGTTCTTTACAAAATCGCTACTGTCTGTGACAAGGGCTAGGAACGTTAACACAAAAGATTTTTACAATGAATTTTAACATTTTGTTCCACCCAGTGGGACTTCATTGAGATGTTTGCATGCTGTTTAACATAAAATATCTTCATGTTCTCTCTTTGAAGCTATTCATTTGCGTCTTTATTGAGAGCTTAAATGCATAATGCCTCTAAAGAAAACTGTTTTGTGATAGCTACTAGAGAGATTAACGTATGCAGACGAATCACAGACAAAATTTTGGTTAGGGGTTTCGCTTTTTTGAACCGCAATGGATTCCCGATCGAAATCAATATATCCGTGTAAGATATTTAGTGCGTGTAAAAGTATTGGACTTATCGCCGCTGTCAAACCAAAATCTGCTATGTGCAAAAATTCTAATTTGAATTAACGAGTAAAAACATTATCGTATAAAATTTTATATGAATGTGAATTTTTAAGAACTATATCAAATGAAAGCTATAGATAAATATTAAAGCTATAGACACATAAAAGGTTTTTTTTTATACGGTAGATAAGGCTGTGAACTATACGAAAAGGTCAAAAAGTAAAAATCTCAAAAAGTGCACATAGCAGATTTTGGTTTGACAACGACGTTATGTCACATGTTTATCTGATACTTATGACATAGAAAATCTAATCTAAAAATAGCCAAATGTGAGACGTCTATAGATATTTATTTTATAGATATCTATTTTCGGATTTATAACCGGACAGTTTGTTGTGTGAGAGAAATAGAAATTTTGATGGATGCGAACTCAATAATCAGTGAGAGAGTGCATAATCTGAAAGTGGTGATCAAAAATTATTCAAAATAAAATATATTTACGAATATCATGCAACAGTGATGTTGGATGAAGCTTTAGAACGAAGTTTTTTATGGGATGATGAGGACAGGTACCATAACCGGGAAAAAACGTTCGTAACGTAAGTTTTTTTTTCTATTTAGTTTATTATCAACATACGTCGCTGCATGTAAATTCAACAATTCCTGAATCGCGGTGACGAGATGTTACACGGTTGATAGACGTTCTCGTATTTCTCTTGCTAAATCATACTTACCTGGCGAAGGGGATACCGTGATCATGCAGGCAGTTCCTCCAGGGCGAGGCTGCTCCATTGCACTGCGGAGTGGTCGACCCTTGCGATTAATTTTATTTTTATCAATAAAAAAATCATAATGAAAAGTGTATACCCGAATAATTATTTTTTTTATACCTCGAATAGAACTTAAAATTTATATTTTTACAATATGGAACTTCGTTCCTATCCGGTGTCCTACGACACCACACATCTTTTTTTTATCGGCAGATGTACAGCAAAGTCTGCGGTGTACCTGCTTTCAAGCGGTTACCAGAGCGGTCTTATCTTTTATTAACAGCGAATGAGAAAGACACATCAGATTTTTATTATAATCATAAATATTATTTTACAACGCAATGAAGATAGTTTATGGTCACTAATATTTAACTAATTGTACTTAGCTTAATTTTTTACTAATTAAATTTATTGCTTTGATCACGGCAAATGTAAATTGAACTACGTCAAACAAAAGTAAAGAAGATTATAATAAGTCGTGTGATTCTCTGTCTATCTACAGTCCTCGGGACATGTGTCGCAGTAATAGGATTAAATCGATGTCAACTTGAGGAATCCAAATATACCGTCCAAGTATTATACTGTGTGTAAAGATTAATATATTAGTTTCTTTTGTACGTGTTAATATAAAAAGTTTTGTTGATTTAATGTATGATGTACGTGTGTCTGAATTAATGTACATATGTGGTCAGTAAAAGACATTTGTTTTTTGTTTGTTATAGTTGCAGAGACTATTTCACAGTCCATCTCTGGTACGAAATAATTATCAGAGCTCATAAAAATCACAACCTGAATGTATCTACTTACTAACCTTGGAGAGTTGAGAAAATCTCAATATTATGTAAATATTTCCATATATTATATTATTCCAAATATTTATAAATCGGAGATAAAGAACAAACTTTCGTCGGGTATATTAGGACTTCTTGTACTATGGGAACACGAGAACTCTATACCACTTATTTACGTTTGAATTTATAGATACATAAATATTAAGCGAATACAGAACGGATATTTAAAAGTATATAGTCGATATTCGAAATGGAAAGTAGTATTAAAAAAATATTTATATGTATTACTTAAAGCGCAGAACCCAAGCTGTTTGTTTGGTAGGTGATCTAAAACGCAATTTAACTACGATTTCATTTTGTCCCATCCTATAAAGTAATACTGCAGATGTTCTCCAACAATATACAAGCGATCTGAACATTCCCTTTGATCACCCAAAGCACGTGAAGTATATTACGGGAGGTCGTCCCACACCCAATTCTATTGAGACTTTAAACAAAAAATTCCAAACGAACGTCGGCACAAGAAACGCCCCCCGCCAAACGAAGCCTATGCGAGCCGTAAAACATATTTTTGTATGTCAAAAGCGATTCATAATTAATTAACGGTCGTGGAGCGTATCGGACGTAGGGGTGAATGGGATGGATGCCTACATTCCATTGTCGTGTAGCTTACGCACATCGTTCATCAAGTTGACAACCGTTAATCCAGATTCCGGGGTCACTACGTTGTGATTTCTCGATTGTTCTTTTGTTCGTTTCCGATCGAGTTTGATGGTTTTGTGTTTTCGCGCGCATCAAACTATTTAAGCAAAATCCTTTAACTATGTATAATAGTTTGTAATTTTTAGATATATTAACAAAATGAAAATTGAGCGAAGAAATCGCATCGACACTTAATTTAGATCATGCTAATAAAACGGCAAATACACTAGTGTTGAGTGTAGTCAGTCCAAACAGGTAATCAATGCAGCTGTTTAATATAATTTCTTTTGTAAATCTGCTTACAAATTTGATGACTGCTAGTAACGTGACTTGATAGCCTCCACTGGTAGGTATTACCTACCAGTGTGGGCTTACAAGATGCCCTTCCACCAACTTGGCATAAATATTGTAATTTTATTATTGGATCGATTGCTTTCTCTTAGGCTTAGGTAGAAAACTTTTGAATTGTACTCCCAAACCGTCTAAAAATATGGATTTGTAACGGATATTTTTCAATCGCTCAATCATTTTCCTCAGGCATCACTGATAGCCTTGTTTATTCAAAGAAGAGCCGTTATGTCTAATTTTAAAGGTAAAATGCAGATGAAATCTGTGCTCCTGCAATTGCTTGAAGTCAGTGAAGAGTTTCTGATCGATTGATGAACGAGAACAACCAGTAGCGCATTGCTCAAAAATTCTCCGCCTCACTCCCGAATCTCGATGACAAATCGTTACGTAAATGATAGTGTTCGCCGGTTCAAGCCTCGAGAGCACTGTTTTTGTTGTTTTGATGTATGTCTGCGCATTGTTGCATCGCATTCTGCGGTGGCTCAGAGCTTTTTGCGCTCCCTCCTCCTCCTCGAGTCGTGTTCCTCATGTCTGAGGGTCGTGACCACCATCACCCATGAGCTTCACTTTTAGGATCTTTTTCCACTTTCCCCTGTCCACGGCGTCATGCAGCGCGCTGTACACTGTACTGTCCAAAGCGGTGCGGATCTGATCGGACCAACGAGTATGGCTGCGGCCTCTAGATCTGTTGCCTTCAACTTTCCCTGTGATCATAAGTTTTTCCAGGTTATCGCCGTCTTTCCTCGCAATGTGACCAAAATATTCGAGGATCCGCTTCAGACATACAGTAGACAGTCTGATTTTGATGCCCAGTTGCTTCAATATCGACACGTTAGTCCGGAAGGCTGTCCACGGAATTCTTAGCATGCGTCTCCAACACCACATTTCGAAAGCATCGATGCGCATTCGGTCATCGATTTTTGCGCTCAGTTGCCCTTAATTTTGGCATTTGATTTGATAACGCGGTACAGAGTTCTATCAAAACATATTCATTGTATAGCAGCCATCCCTTCTGGCTCTCTGTATCCCACCAATAGATATAACGTAAACTAAACCAGTGATACGCTAAAAACCTTACTCAAATTACCAAGGGAAATTTTGTAATAACCAAAAAATATGATCATTATAAAACTCGGTGAGATGATTCGTAAATTAAAATAACTATTTTGATGAAAGCATATTATATTATTTTTAAGACGAGTGTAAAAAGCAAGATAAAGCCCTCTTTTAAATTGTCCATTTAAACCCTTTTAGGATAGGATCAGATAAAAAAACACCTGGCCAAGATTAAACTGTGGGGAGGTCTCACACCATATGATGGTCCGATGACACGGACTAAATTAAAATAATTAATCATTATTTAAGTTCGACCCCATGGTAATGATGAACGCCCGCGGGTGGGTTTCTATATTACAAGACGTTTCCTGTCTAAAGTTTTGTTTAAGTTATGCTTATAAATCAATATACGAGTATGTCGGAGTTGGGACGGCTATTTTTATCGGATAAGAGCTATGGTGTTTGAATTGACATGCATGTTGTTGATAATAGTAAAATTATTGTTGATAATACTAAAGTTCGAATCAAAAACATGTTGTTACTGTCACATAACATTCGCGTTCCAAGAATCCTACGTGCACAGTATAAGACGAACTATTTCATCTTCTTCTCGCTCTTACCTCGCATTAAGGCAGCGTTTTTGTCCCTGGGCATTTGTTGGTAGCCTAGGGGACTATCCCAGGTACGCCCGGATGGCTAAGTGAGCTAATGGGAACAACCTGAGAAAATTTGCTAACCCTAGACCTAGTAAGAGCAGTGCTTCGCAGAATCTACTTCCGGGCCGGAATTGCGATCCACTGAGAAGATCCTACGAGAAATTCAGTGGACTGTGTCTTTGGGTTAGTTCTCTTAGCATGCTGCATAAGGATTGGGCATTCATTTTACGGCTGACGTCAACCCTACTAGGGTTTGATCTCCAGGAATATATGTATTACAAAGTGCCATAAGGAGGAATTTTCTCTGTTTTTTCTTCGATGTTTCTTTAACTTCTTCCGATATTTCGTTATATGATTTGCATTTATTATTTATTTTCGATTATCAAGATAAACAAAACACATTTGATTCGTTTTTCCGTTTTTTTTTGTCAAGATTTTATTGTTATTCGTATTGAGTACACAAAGAAATACGTTGAACTAAAATTAGATCTATAGAGAGGATTGTTGGAATACACATACTTTATGAGTGATATTAAATGGGTATGTACTGCAGAGAGGATACGAAGCCCACCGACTGAGACGGTCGACCCCACCCTGATATCCGCGCGGACCCGACGGTGCCTCACGCGATGAGACTATGAAACGCCTTGCTTGGACTGGACAGTAATGTGCCATCTCGATTTTATTACTTTATTCGAATTGCGTTCGGACAGATATTTTTTTTTTTTTTTTTTTTTATTGCTTAGATGGGTGGACGAGCTCACAGCCCACCTGGTGTTAAGTGGTTACTGGAGCCCATAGACATCCACAACGTAAATGCGCCACCCACCTTGAGATACAAGTTCTAAGGTCTCAAGTATAGTAACGACGGCTGCCCCACCCTTCAAACCGAAACGCATTACTGCTTCACGGCAGANACCTGGTGTTAAGTGGTTACTGGAGCCCATAGACATCCACAACGTAAATGCGCCACCCACCTTGAGATACAAGTTCTAAGGTCTCAAGTATAGTAACGACGGCTGCCCCACCCTTCAAACCGAAACGCATTACTGCTTCACGGCAGAAATAGGCAGGGTGGTGGTACCCACCCGCGTGGACTCACAAGAGGTCCTACCACCAGTGGATATAGATATTGGAGGATTCGATTTTGACAGATGTCAGTGTAGTTCGATACACACACAAACATACATCGATCGATTCGATACAATATACACAAGCATCTAAGAGTAGGTGTTTGTAATGAAACAAAGCTCAGGATGTTTAAAGTACTATATAAATTTTTCGGTTTTCCTGAGTTATAGACTTAAATAAAACTACTTTTACGGCTTAATCTCGGCATTTTATTATCGTTATATTATTGTTAACGTTTCAAATACCTTACGATTTTCTTGGTCACTCACGACTCATGTGATATAGAAATAGAAAACTCGAGATTAAGCTGTGAAAGTGGTTTCAAAATGCATTCTTGTTTTCACGACATTGTCTTAATATAAAACTTACTGGTGGTAGGACCTCTTGTGAGTCCGCGCGGGTCGGTACCACCACCCTGCCTATTTCTGCCGT